GGATGCCTACGGACCTGCTCCACAGCCCATGGGCTATCCCTACGGCCAGGCTCCAGGTTTGGAAGCTGTGTAATGATGTCTCCTGCTAGCTGTGAGGAAGCGACAGTGGTACGCTGGGGGTTGCTGTAGTTTTGTCTGCATTGAGGACCCTCGTCCTTGCAGAAATCTGTCACGTGCTGTTGATCGCGCCCGTGCGTCGCTGTAATTGTAGCTACGTGAAGTTGTGGTTTGCAAATTGTGCTGCTGCTTGGGAGAGGATTATTGCCTGCTGACATGACAGGCATTAGCAAATTATCACATCCCTGGGAAGCCTGGAGAGCTTCCCTTACCACTGCTCTCATCCCCAGCTAATGTGCTGTCAGGCCTGTGTGCTCTCTGTCCCATGATCTGTGTCCAAAGCATCAGCCTGGTGTTGTCTTTTTCAGGTATTTACCCACCACTTCCAAACATGAACCCCATTTACATGCCACCCCCACCACCCTACTCTGGGGCACCTCCTGCAGGATCCTCAGCCCCCACGGCTCCCCCAGCCTGGGTGAGCCCAGGAATGCCAGGTAAATGGGATTGGGTGGTTGTCAGGGTCTGGCTGCAAATGGTGCCTGGGGGCTTGGGCTGAGGGTGGCATAGGCACAGCATGGGGTGGAGAAGCTGTTGTTGCAAGAGCTCCAAGTCTTCTGTAGGGATCTGCTCTGCCTTGCACTGCACAGCTTGTGGTCAGCCCTAGCCAGCTTTGCTGAGCTGCTCTGAGTTCTAATCCAGCTTGCTGCAGTTCCTCTTGGCTCCTCGGGCCTTTGTTGCCTCCTTGGAAGAGGTGAAGCTGGGGAGAAGGCTCTGGGGCTAGGGCCATTGCCTCAGATATTTAAGGTGACTTCTCCTTCCTTTCCAGGAGGCAGCAAGGCCATGGAAGCAGCTTCCAGTGCATATTACAACCCTGCCAACCCACACAATGTGTACATGCCCATGGTGAGTACCATGCCTGGTCTTCGTGTGCCTACTCCCTCCTCTGTCACTAGCAGAGATGTGCTTTGCTTTCTTACAAAGTCTAATGCACCTTCATGTTGAACATGCACAGAAAGTATGCATTTTTATGGGAGGGAGGCTCCCATGAGGAAGGCTGGTGAATTTTTCAGTCAGGAAAGGAGGAAGGCCTTAAGACTGATTCATTAACAGCCATTTATTTCCTGTCTTACTCCTAAAGCCATAACAGACTTGCAGGCCACATAGAAAACACAGAGCTCTCTGCATCCATTAGGCCTGAAAATGAGGAGAGTTAAAGCAGAATAGGTCACTTGAGGATGATGGCATGTGGGTTTCTGTTTTGCTTTCTTTCTGGGCTAGGTTTCTTACTGTTCAGTCAGTGGCAGCCAGTAGGTTGTCTGTAGCCTCCATCTGGTACATGGCAGCCTGGCTGTGCCCCTCGCTGCCTTGCTTGGCTCTGGCAGGCTGGAGACTGATGGAGCAGCAAAGCTGGCCCTCAGCCCAGGGTTTGCTCTCTGCTGGGTCAGAGCTATGAGCTTCAACAGGGACAAAGCCCTGGAAGGGAAGGGAGAATGGCATTTAAAACAGATTAAATGGTCCATTTGCAGTAGACCATTTGTTACCTGGTTTTGAGGGGACTTTTCCTAGAAATGTTACGGAGACAGCATTTGTCATGGAATATAGCTGATACTAGAGAGGAGTGGTGTGATGAAATGACAGCTTAAACCATAGAACTTGGTTCTGTCTGTAGCTCACTGCAGGGCACTCTTTTCTGGTGAGCCAAGCCTGGGAATGCCTGGAAAGAGCTGGTCCTAAAACAGGCATGGTTATTGACTCTACTGTATCTCTTTCCAGGATCAGCCACCTCCTTATGCACCTCCTGAGGATAAGAAGAACAACTAGCAGAAGGAAATTGCAGCCAGCCTCCCACATTCTCTCTCCCTGAAGACAACTTGGCTGTTAGTACCCCTGAAGTTAGCATATCTCTAGATCTCTGTTTCTCTACAATAGATACGGTGCTGGGCAGCTGAGCACCTGCCCTCATTAAACACTGAGGCAGGACAACAGCACTTTCCTATTTACTTGCTTTATCTCATGGGGTCGAAGGACTAACCTTTTGCCCTGCCATTGCCTTGAAGAGAGAGATGGACTTATTAAACTGTATCACGTGACTAATCTAGGACTAAAATATTAAGGCTCTGGGATCTTGTTGGAGTGAAACAACTTGGAATGCCAAACTTTTGACTTCTGAAGCACCATCCAGGAGGAAAGGTGTGGAGAGCTATGAGGTTCCCTGCACAGATCCTCTGGTGTCCTAGACAGCTATTAAATTTCCTTAAATTCTAGGGCAGTTCAGTTTGAGATGGGACTTTGGAAATCCTGTATTGTGATGGAAGTGTGTGGCATTCTGAACTAACAGTTGAGGGGTCATGACCTTGGGAAGTGCATTTGAAGAGATGCTGAAACATTTGGCTATGAAAGAGGGAAGGGGATGGGTCCCTGTCTTTGTAGCCATTGAATAGAGAAGCAAACAAAGGTGTGCCTCAGGGCAGTGAGCTCATAGACTGGCAGGCCTGAGGATCAGTCTGTCTCTTCCCTGTCCAAGCAGGCCCCATATCTGTGCAATGATCCTGTGTCAAGCAGCCATGCCTCGAGCATAATGGAGTCAAGTGCTGCACAGGAGGCTGCCTGTCTTGGAGCAAAATATGTTACATTAGGCAGATGACCTGGCAGTAGTCAGGAGACAAGTCCTGCAGCCCTGGCTCCCTCTGCTGAGCAAATCTCTGCTGTGTGCTACCTCCACAGGGGAAAACTGGCCTTCATCTTTTCCTTCAGCTGCTGGAGCCAGGCTGTGTGTGCCCAGCGCACACAGCAGTGTGGGCAGGTGGGCACTGTAGTGCCAGAGCTGGTTCCTTACAGGTGCAATGCCCTTGGCTGGGAACTGCTGTCTGGGTGGGAGTTACTAGTGCTTGGCTCTCTTGCAGAGACTCTGGCTGCTCAGCCACAAGCTTTCCTTTTTCCTTAGGACATAGTGCCATTAAACCTGCTCTGAAGAGTCTCTAGTCTGGTGGAGACCCTTGTGATTCTTTACATATAGGGTGACTGTACTTCTTCCTACAGCCTCCCTACCTTCACAAGGAGGGGGAAGGAGTGTTTTGCCTCTTACCTCCCTTTGTGGTAGGGCTCTCCTGCAAGTCAGGTTTGCACAACTTAAAAAGTATGAATTCCTAAAGCAGTTCCACATGGGGGGAAGTAAGTTTCCTCATCTATAAACACTTTTTGTGACTTAGAGATATTCTAACAACTCTGTATTTAAGAAAAAAAATCAACCATGAATGTTTGTAACTTTTTGAATTGCACTTTAATACAGGAGTGTTGATACCTTTATCTGCCAGTTCAGCATTGTGTGTGTTGTGTTGACCTTAATTCTTGCATACTGCACAGAAGGCTGGAATGAACTACAACCACTGCTGCTGTTCCCTTGGGTCACCTATGGGTCAGTACATCCCTCTCCCTGGTGTGTGGCTAAGCTGGACCTGGAATCAAGTAACTGGGGGGAGTGAAGAAGGTGGGGCTTATTCCCTTGCTGCCTGAGAAGGCTGGAAGGGTGGCTGGTGCCTGTGATTTTGCCCAGGTATCCAGAAGTGGCACATGTTCCTGTTCCATCACTCCTTGTAGCAGGGGCTGTGTCACGCTGCTGCTCATCACAGCTGCGTTCGCAGCACCTCGTCTGTGTACATTACACCAGAGGGGAGCCTTTGCAGTCTTTAAAAGAAATTCCTCTCCTGCAATACTGTTCCAGCAATGGAAAAATTAATATATAATAAGGAAAATGGCACTTGGCTGTAGACTGTAAAATCTGTTTCCCCTTGTGCCAAGAAATACTGCTGCCCTGCTGAACATGATGTAACTGCTGGAAAGCCATTTCCTACTCTGCAGCAGTCCAGTTTCTGACAGGGAACCAGTTCTATTTCCTAGGATAGTTGTTCCTGTTTTGTGGTAATGTGTTGTGATAAGACACGAAATGATGACACAGACACTGCTGCTCTCGAGGGGAACAAAAAGAAGAAGAAGAAAAACTTTATTTTCTGACTCCAACATTTATAGTTTTCCAAAGGTGACAGTGGATTGGAGGATGACAGTGCCACCTCTCCAATGCCACTGGACAGACCAAGGGTCCATCAATTCTCTCCACTTCCATGAAAGAATGCAAAACATAGGTTATTTACAGAACTGTGTGTGAGAAAGTTTGTTGAAAGAATGCAAACATCAGAAGGCTTAACAAAGTCTTACAAAATCAGGGTGACAGTAATGACCCTGTAATCCTACATTAACCAAGCAGATATAGCTAGCAACACATGAAACAGTCTATGATCTACTTCCTTTTATTTCAATCAATTTGCCTCAATCACTCCCCAAGAACAAAGCCAGCTCCTTGTTTTGTTGGCAAGTCCTCCCTTATTAGAACTGCAAGCATTGTGTTCAGTATCTTGACCATGCACATCAGAGAAAGTTTCTGGAAGGGTCCAGAATCAGCCATTTGGTCCTTCAGGAACCAGAGTGGACAGATGACCAGGAAACCTCCCACAGCTGAACAGAAATAGAGATTTTTATTTTTTTTTCCCCTAATCTAAAATGTGGTATTTCCCCATTCTGAGGCTTAATCTTGTGTCACCTAGAACTCTTCCATGGGTAGTCTGCTCTATGAAGGTGAAGCAGTTGAGGGCTTTAGAGTGTCCTGACACTCACTTCCAGTTTATTAGTGCAGGCTCCTCCTCAGGATAAGAGATGTGGATGCAAGGGCCCTTGGGAGAAGAAGCCTTTCCCTGAGACACCCTGAGTTTTCAGCCTGCTGAAGTAGGATCTGATCCTCCTTTTAGCAGAAATTTTCTTCTAGAGAAAGAAAGATGCAACTCTCAGCTTGGAGGCACCTGTGACCAACTCCCAACCCAAAAGATCACCTCAGCTGAGTATCAGCATCTTCCTGCCAGCACTCCTACACAATGTGCTATGGCTCTGCAGTTTTTGGTGAGTACCACAGCACAGCTCCTGGGCTTGTGCATGGCTCATGGAGATTTTGGCTCTCCTGTAAACGTCTACCAGAGGGACTTTAATACAATGCTAGCATGCACACTAGTAGTGCTGGCCTCTAGAATCATGGCAGCAGGAATCAGGCCTGCAAGAAAAGCCTCACTGCACAGCGCCATTATGCCTCCAAGAGCTCTTGGTCCTGGTGGGGATATGTGGGAGGGATGCAGCCCAGCTGACAGCTCCTCATCCTAAACCAAGCTGATTATAGCAAAAGAAAGAAGGTGACCAAGTCTGATCCTTGAGGTTAATGCCATCACACACCTGGGGAAAAATGGAAAGTCACAACCCTAGGAGCTACTAAAGCACCCAAAGCCTTTCTGCACGTGTAGTTCAAACAGCCCCTGCAGCAGCCAGTAGTACCCAGCTCAAAGCAATGAAGTTCTCAGGTGTCAGAGCTGACAAACTTTAGTGGTGGTGGACTCTACTTATACGGCATCTTCCACAGGAGGATCTCAAAAGGCTTTGCAATCACCGAGGCACTACGCTCTGCACACCCTTAGGCAGTGGGTAACAAGAATTCCTGGTTTACGGAGACGGAGCAGACACCATCAGGCTGGAAGCAGGGGATGGTCAGTGCCCAGCATTGCTGGGCTCAGCAGCAAAAGGCACTTGTGCAGTGAAGAGCCACGTGCCCTGGGGTCTCACGGCTCACCCTGGCACTGCTCCACACCCCATCCACTGCGCCCTGTCACAGAAAGGCTGGGGGGAAACCTTTGCCTGGGACTTGCTGTCTGACAGCATGCCGGGGTTGTAGCGGGAGTTCCGTGGGACGGAGATACCACATCACCACCCCCGAGGGGTTAATAACAACTGAGAAGTTGTCTGCTGTTCTTAGGGCCCCAACGATCTTCCCGGCGTACACGTCTTGTACCTGAAAGAGAGAGATGGAGCTACCAGCAATTCCAGACCTTTCATCTTGGGGTCCAGCTGTGGTCACGGACATGGCATAGTGGGCCGGGGCACAGCAGTGGGCAACAGAAGAGTGACCCAACGGGCAGCTGCCCCTTCAGCCCAGAGGCATGGAGTGAAAGTACCCCCTCTCACCCCACCAAAACACACAGAGATCTGGGAAGAGGGAGACCCATGTGCCATGGGACTGCCCTGCTATGCAGTGTGTCAGTGAGGCTCACCTCATACACAGCATCCTCAGGGAAGTGGAGCTTGGCCAGGCTGGTGGTGTAGCGGAAGGGCATATCTGTCCTCCGGCTGAAGAACACAAGGGCGCTGGCAGCCTGCGACAGTGGGCGCAGAAACACCTCGATGTGGGATTTCTCCTAGGGGTGGGGATAGGTATGTGAGGCAGAGTGGCCAGGAGCAGCGTGACTTCTGACTTGGCCTTGTGGGGCTGCTACACCAGCAGGCCCATGATTCCCACAGCTCTCTTGCTCCTCTTTCTCTGCGTCGCTTCCCTCTCCCTCCTTATTCTAATGTTCTGTGCTACTTCTGTCTGCTCTCCCAAAGGCATCTGCTTTCCCCCTAACCTTGACAATCCTGCGCCCCTGGATTCCCAGGGGGTCCTGGTTGATCTGGATCATCAGGCGGTTCTGCAGGATCTCTTTGGCACTGGGGGAGATGGTGCGGAGATCCGTGGACATGAGGAGCGGAGCTGCCATCACTGTCCATAAAGCCATTTGGGAGCGTGACTGCTCGTAGCTAAGGCCGAAGTTTCCAATGATGAGCTGGAGGGGAGATGGTGAAAAGATGGAAGTAGCAGAAAAAGGTTAGAAACTTGTCTGCTTGTCACCTGTGGTGATGCTGCTTCCTGCTGGGAGGGATGCACAAGGGAAACCTCACACTCACTTCTGCTTCCCCTTAAGTAGTCCACCACAGCCACTGGAGATCCCATCCCTGCTAGCAACGTACACTCAAATACGCTCATTAACACCCCTTGTTTCACCACTATTTGCCCTCAGGCCATGCAGGGAAGGACAAGAACACCTGAAGAACTCGAGAGGTAAATTCAAGTGGTGAACGGTTCATTGCAATCACTCTGGTTTTTCCCACAGCTTAGCCAAGGGCAACACCAGCTTTGCCTCTGCAGCAACAGGGCTCCTGCTCCTGGAGCTCTTCCTTTGCTCTGCCCCTAGAAGGGGATCCCTGAAGATCCTCATCCCCAGACAGGGTCAAAGCACCCATCACCAGCCACACCATGTCTGGGTCGTTCCAGTGACCGGGGCCAGCTGCTGGCTGCAGCACGTCCTGGTTTGTGAAGAACCAGTCCACGATGGAAAGTACACTGTCCCAGGAGTCCTGGATGTCATCATAGTTACGCCACAGGTTGCAGCTCTCTGCCAGGATGGTGTAGTTGACCTGACAAGGAGAACAGTGTCAGGCAGGAGAGCAAAAAGAACTGTTCTGCAAGGTGGGAGAGGCAGGGCAGCACTGCTGAATTGTTGAGAGCTGTCCAGCAAGTGTGTAACAGACAGAGGAATCTGCAGAATGGCAAGGAAGCAAGACAGAGTCATATCCCACTGTCTGGGCACACCCCAGTATTATAAGATGTCTGGCAAAAACAACCACAGAGGCCATGGGGAAATCTGATAACCTATCAGCTACAATGAGAGCAGCTCAGGACTGACTCAAAAAATGAAAGAGGAAATATGTGAGTGCAAGCAATTCTCAAGAAACATATACCAGGAAGATTATCCTATTTCAAGCACTGAAACCAGACAAGATTGTTTCACAAGAAGACTGTCAGGACCAACCCCACACCATCTGAGTAGCATAGAGAGGATACACTCCAGAGCCTTCTTCCCACAAACTCCCATCTCCTAGCTGTATTGGGACCCCAAGTGTCCCCGGGTGCCTGGCAGGAAGGCCACATTCCCTCTGGGACCTGCAGCACCATCCAAGGGTGGAAAATTAAGTGGGGTGTAACACCCGGCTTGTGGTGCTCCAGCAAGAGCTCCTCCAGGGCACAGGGGACACGGGAACTTGCCAACAGATGGGAAAACCCTTACCTTGGGGGGAAGACCCCCCTGATATGCTGGCCAGCTGCAGGAGTAGACAATGGGGCGGCCTGTGGCATTCAAGGCCCTCGCCATTTCTGGATATCCTTAGGGAGAGAAGATATCAACCAGTGAAGTGGGTGCTGGCAGCAGCCCATGTCCCAGTAGCAGCCTTTGTCCCAGCCCACCCAGCAAGGGGAATACCAGGCTAGGCTGGCTTCCTTCCTTACACCAGCTCCAGGGCACACAAACTCCCGCTTCTTTTCCCAACATTTGCAATAGGAGGCACAAGGGAAGAACTGGCTGGCCCAGTGTTGCTGCAGAGGGCCAGCTGCCCCAACCCAAGCAGTAGGGGAGGAATGCCAGAGGCTGGTGAACTTTTACCCTTTGCCTGCTCCTCTGCAGACGAGTAGCACCCATCCAGCTTCAGCATGTCCACACCCCACGCTGCAAAGGTCTGGGCATCCTGCTTCACATTTTCCAACACGGTGCCTGGGTAGCCCCCACAGGTGAAGATGCCCAGGTCACCATATATGCCCAGCTTCAGGCCCCTGGCATGGACCTGTGAGGAAAACAGAGCTGCAAGGAGCAAATGAAGGGATGCAAGCTGTCTCCCAGGTACCAGAGTCCTCTTTTCCTTCCCAGCTCTCCCACCATACTGGCATGGGGACAGAGATCCCCAGTGGCCCCCAGCAGGCACTCACATAGTCAGCCAGAGCCTTAATTCCACTGGGAAATCTCTTGGGGTCGGGAACCAGCTGTCCGGCCGCATCCCGCTGCTTGGCAGACCAGCAGTCATCCATGTTGATGTACTCGTAGCCCAGCTCCCTCCAGCCATCCTCTGCCAGCCGGTCTGCCATCTCGAAGAAGAGCTGCTCGCTGTGGGTTGAGGAGGCATGGCAGGTGAGACCCTGCGACCCTTGTACAGGTGACCTGCACCCTCAGCAGGTGAGGTAGCAGAGGGAATTGCGGGTTAACTGGGGGCTCTGGAGGGCTGGTCCGTGTGAGAAATTAAACCCTGGAGATGGGAGCTCTTTTTCAGAGTAGTAATTGTTAGTTAATGCTGATGAAGTTGATAGGGTCCTAATTTGAAGTGTTGGTCTGTTGTTGAATATTGAATGTTAGAGTTCAGGGACTTGCCTTTGGTTGCCACTGTTAAGTGTTACTATCTTTCCCTGTATTTGTATCCCTTTCCGTCGGGAACCACTTCCCCTGCTCCCAGAAGGACTTACACCCGGACTGAATTTAATGAGGGGCTGTTGGTACTATATGGACCATCTCAAAAACAACAAACTAGCACATAAACAATGATTTTAACCTGGCAGCACCACAGGGAATCACCCACCATTGACCAGAGCCAGATTCTGTCCTGTCGCCATAACTTTAATAGTATTCAGTCTGGATGACACCCCTAAACTACGAGCCAACATTGTCTCAGCTCTGCCGAGAGACAAAGCTGCATTCCTTCTCCTGAGCGTCGTCCTGCGGGAGCAGCGGCGGTGTGCGCGACTCCACGGGTTCCCCACCCAAGAGCTCTTCTTAGTAAAGGCCTTTTTAAAGTAGCTAGTCTCCTAGCCCTGTTTATTATAGTCCGGGCCACAGGAGGGTCTCCAGCGCTCCCATTTAAACCCTATCCGTGTTTATTGACCTCACCGAGGGGGAAGCGTTTCCCCGACTGCCCGAAAAGCCCGGCCACTCCTTCGGCTCTGGGGGCCCTCCAGCCCAGCACCGGCGCGTCTGAGCCTCCCGCCCCCCATGCACCACCCACCCCGGGGTCCCAGGGATACAGACGGTGCCAGAGCCATCCCGGGCCTGAAGTTTGACCTGAAAGAGCCCCATCCACTGACCTGATGCAGTTGCGGGGATCCGCCTGGCAGTCTACGTTGCAGCGGAACCTCTCCCAGGACATCCAGCCCATGGGGGGAGTTCGCGCCAGCCCGTTCTCCAGAGCCACGGAGGGCAGCGCCAGGGCCAGGGCCAGCCCGCTCAGTACCAGCGCCTCCATCGCCGCCGCGGCACAGAGCGGCTCTCCCGGCCCGGCCCCGCTCACATGATGCCGTCTGCATCAGCTGACTGACCGCCCACGCCTCCCGCCCGCCCGCAGCCACCGCGCCCCGCCGCTCCTGCAGCCCGCAGCCGTGCCTGCCCATTAATGTCGCTGCCCCAGCTGCACCCTGTCCGTGTTGCACCCCACTGCTGCTGCACCCCCTGGCCGGTGCCCAATCAGCACTGCCCCCAGCCCGCACTGCGCCCCACTGCAGCCCCGTTGCCGGCACCCTGCCACTGCCGCCCCCGTGCCTGCTGCGCCCCAGCAGTGACTGGGAGCGGGGGGTTTAGGTCCCCCCCAGGTTGCGACCCCGCAGAGGTGTCGGGCTGAGCGAAGGTGCGGGAGGACGCGGCTCCGCTCTGGCTGCGGTGTGCCCGGCCCCCCCGCTCCCCCCGGCCGCCGGCGGGGCGGTGCTGCCGGCGC